TATGCCTTGTGCCGGAAAGAGGGGTAAGCATTTTTGGCATCACAAGGACTGTGCATACACTAGGGCGTCCGTAGAGTGTCTTGAGGAAATAGCCGGCTTATGGTTATGGCAAATCTGGGGGGTAAATTTACCCCCCGCTTATGCATGCGTTAGGCTAGAAATAGGGTAGAGAACTTGTAGCAGTGAAGTACAAGGCCTATGCAGCAAGCAGCAGCCAGCAGCAGCAGCAGCAGCAGCAGCAACCACCAACCAGCAGCCAGCCAGCAGCACCACGCAGCAGCAGCGCAGCAGCAGCGCAGCACCACCACCAGCAGCAAGCAGCAAGCAGCAAGCAGCAAGCAGCAGCAGCAGCAGCAAGCAGCAAGCAGCAAGCAGCAGCAGCAGCGGCGTCGTCAGCAACAGCAGCAGCGGCACCAAGCCGCAACAAGTAGCAAAGCAGCAGCTACAAAAGCGGCAACCAGCGGCAGTAGCAAACAGCAGCAGCAAGCAGCAGAGCGGCAGCAGCAGCACCGTTTACACCAAGCCACCGTTTACACCCAACCAACCACGTTCACACGTTCAACCTACCCCCGCTACACGGCGCAGCTTGGAGTCGAACCGTGGGGGGGGAGGGGGGGGGTAGCGTGATATATCAAGCTTTAAGGCACACAGCTCATCCCACTACCAATTGCTAAAGCAAAGAAGAACTCAGCTAGCATGCTAGCTTTCGTGATCAAGCTTTAAGGCACGCAGCTCATTCCACTTCCAATTGCTAAAGCAAAGAAGAATTCAGCTGGCGTGCTAGCTTTCGTGATTACCTACCGCTTTTGTATGCCTTGGGTAGGAAAGAGGGGTGAGCATTTCTGACATCACACGGACTGTACATACACTAGGGCGTCCGTAGCGTAGGATAAACACTGGTAAAAGGTATAAGGAATAGAGTGTCTTGGGGCAATAGCCGGCTTATGGTTATGGCAAATTTGAGGGGTAAATTTACCCCCCGCTTTCGTATGCCTTGGGTCGGAAAGAGGGGTCAGCATTTCTTGCACCACAAGGACTGTACATACATTAGAGCGTCCATAGTGTAGGATAAGCACTGGTAAAAGGTATAAGGAATAGCGTGTCTTCAAGAAATAGCCGGTAGCAAATTTGGTGGGTATGGATACAATCAACAGTTTTGCCAAACCACACATGTCCAAGACAGTAAATTCAAACACTTTACTCTCAGGTATTGAAGATTCATCAACTGACGAGGCGCAGCCAAAATGTTATGTGATGCATCCACAAGAAGAAGACGAGCAAATGACCATGCTTCCGACGAAGCTGACCATGCTTCCGACAAAGCTCGTCAATGAATCCTAAATACAAACACTAAGAGTGTCTAGATGAAATAGCTGGTTTACTGTTGTGGTAAATCTGGAGGTTAAATTTACCCACCGCTTTTGTATGCCTTGGGTCGGAAAGAGGGGTGAGCATTTCTGACATCACACGGGCTGTACATACACTAGGGCGTCCGTAGCGTAGGATAAACACTGGTACAAGGTATTACGGTATAAGGAATAGAGTGTCTTGGGGCAATAGCCGGTAGCAAATCTGGCGGGTTTGGATACAATCAACAGTTTTGCCAAACCACACGTCGAAGACAGTAAATTCAAACACTTTGCTCTCAGGTAATGAAGATTCATCAACTGACGAGGCGCAGCCGAAATGTTATGTGATGCATCCACAAGAAAAACGAGCAAATGATCGTGCTTCCGACGAAGCTGACCATGCTTCTGGCAAATCTCCTCTACAAACACTAAATCAGTGGATGTTTTGCAATAACGCATGCAAAATCCCATGAGTGTCATCTTGATTCTCCAATAATTACGTGTGCCTCCGCTACCCAGGATCCATCCAAAATTCAAGTGCATTATGTCTTTGACATCCTGGTTTTGAATGCACACCCCAGAATCAAAAATACCAAACAAAACACCAACAATTTCCAACATGTAACAACACCTCCACTAATGCCAAAACGCCTGCAGCTGTCCTTAGCGTGATATATCACGCTAGAGTGGGTTTGTGTGATATATCAAGCTTTAAGGCACGCAGCTCATTCCACTACCAATTGCTAAAGCAAAGAAGAACTCAGCTAGCATGCTAGCTTTCGTGACAAGAGGAATGCAACTGAATCATGTCCAATCTGTCAACGTAATCATCTGCTCCAGGCAACGATTCATCTGTCAGGGTGAAGCTCCAAAGCTCCTCCACGTTCTGCGCCTGGCGCGCCCCGTCCTCGATCCCACCGAAGCGACCAGCGGAACGACGCCCACCGGAACTCATCCAGCGCGCAACTCGCGTCTGATGCAAAGTAGCTTCTTGCTCCTAGTAGTAAGGCCAGGAGCCCCTAGTAGCGTCCTTGCTCCTAGTAGCGATGCCAGGA